CCCCGTGTCCACTCGTGTTCCCCACAGCCCTTTGTGCTCTGCTGTGTCCCCCGTAGCCCCGTGTCCCCATGGCCCCCTGTGTCTCCCCATGTCCCCCCCCGTGTCCCTTGTGCCTACCCATGTCTCCTTGTGTCCCCCCCGTGGCCCCCTGTTCCCCCCAATGTCCCCACATCCCCTGCACAATCAAGCCTGGCTGTCACAAGAGTTTTTATTAAAGTGTGACCCCCCCACGCAGGGGGGGGGAAGGACAAGGGCGGAGACACGACCCCCGCTTCCTCCGAGTTATCCCCAACATACAGGATGGGAGGGATATGGGGGGACCCTGGCCCCCCCCCCCCCAGCTGTCACCTCGGAGGGGGATGGGGGGGTCACTGCGGCTTCACTTTGGCACTTGGGAGCTTGGCCTGGATCCTGGGGGCAGAAGGGAGTTGGGGGGAGGGGTGTAGCACCCCAACCCCCCCGGGGGCACGCCAAGACTGCCCGGAGGCACCCCTGGGCTTGGTTTGGGGTCCCCAGGGGCAGGTTTGGGGTGCCCAGGGAGGTTTTGGGGGGCAGGGGGTGCCCTCACCTGGCTCGGAGGTGACTTAGGTGGTTCCTTACCAGACTCACATACTGGTCAATCTGGGCCTAGGGACATTGGGGACATGGGGAGCAACTGGGGACATGGGGGGGGGGCAGAGGGGTCCCCCTCAACCCTCCCCAGACCCCCACATCCCCCTGTGTCCCCTATATCCCCAAGCATCTCCAGCCCACCTGTTCCCCCATACCTGGTGGTGCCGGTAGAGCACAGGGAAGGTAAACGCACAGATGACGCCTGGACAGGGAGTACCATGTCATGCCGGTCCCCGTCCTGTACCCCCCGTCCTCTCCTGTCCCCTGTCCATGTGCCACACTCCCATCCCCTCAAACCCCTGTCCCCAGACTGTCCCCATACTCTGTCACCTGTCCCCATGGTGTCCCCCATCCCCATGCTGTCCCCATCCCTGTGCCAGCCCCTTGTCCCCAGGCACTACTCATGTCCCCTACCCCTGTCCCCTTGTCCCCCAGCTGTATCTGCACCCTGTCTCCATGCCCCATCCGTCCCCATCCCCTGTCCCTGTGCTCATCCTGTGTCCCTTATCTCCATCCCTCTCCCATGTCCCTGTCCCCATGCCCCATCCATGCCCTGTCCCCATCACATCCCCATCCCTATTCTGGTGCCGTACCCGCTCCCAGCAGCGTCAGCCCATTGCAGACAGCCCCCACGTAGGTCAGCAGGTAGAACAAGAAGGCGAACTGTGGCCAGAGCCCGGCATCACCGTCACCCTCACCATCACCGCCTCGGGTGTCCCCCATGCCACCAGAGTCCTCATGCCCCATGTCCCCAGTACCCCCGTGCCCTTGTGCCTGTGGGGCACCCCATGTCTCCTGGTCCCTCAGTGTCCCCTCTACGGTCATGCCCTGGTGTCCCCATGCCCCCAGTGTCCTCCATGTCCCCCAGTGTCCCCCA